GGGCCTTACAGAGGGGGAGAAAAGGGTAGATCTGGGCTTACAGGGAGTACAGAGACCTCTTTTCTTAAAGCATGCTGTTACTTCCCACTACTGGTTCTTTTTTTTTTTCCCTGGCTGCTTTTTCTTCTTTATTTTCCTTTCAATTAACATATTCTAGGGAAGGTAGAGTGCAGATGTGTTTTTGGTACTCAAAGCCATATGAAGCCAAAATGAGTCTTTTCTCTCGTTATAATTATAAGTAGGGCCTTAGGCTATGTTTACTGCCTCTAAAATAAACTTGGTGCTTAGCTTCTCAGTTGCAACACTCTCCAGCTTTTATGAAAAAATAAACAAAAATAAAATGTTATTTTAAATGTAGTGTTAGAAATTAAATTGTCCTCAATAGTGCTGTATATTAAAAGACAAAATTTGGAGGGGCTATAGGATTGTTCAGGAAAACCTCCCGATAAAACAGTATTAAAGAAACAATCATTAAATATTGGACATCGGGTGATAGCTCATCCTATTGTAACTATTTAGTCTATATTTTCCCAGTTATTTGTGGAATATAACTTGAGCAGTATGGAGTAGCAGTGTGAGGCAGCCTCTGTTGCTGAACTGTTGTAGGTCTGATTCCCAGCTTTCCCATACCCTAGTTGGGCAGCCATGAGTCACTTAATTTCTCTGTGCCTCAGTTACTCATTCTGTAAAATGGGAACCACAAGAGTAATTAACTCAGGGTTACTGTGAGACTTAACTGAGTGGAAAAAAAGCCAAACCTTCACAATAGAGCCTGGCACATTACTGCTTTCCATGTTCTTGTGCTTATTTTTTAAAGTCAAGTTTATTAGGGTATAACTAACATGTGGTATAACTTTATCCTTTCTAATAGACAGTTCTATGATTTTTGACAGGTGCATACAAATCATGTAGTCACCACTACAATCAAGTTATCAGAAGTTTTTTTTTCCTTAAAAATTCTCTCATGCTCTTTGGAGTCAGCTCACTCCCTTCCCCACTCTTTCGAGACACTGCCAGTCACTCTTCTGTTTCTGATTCTGTATATTTCCTTTACAGAGATCACATAAATAGTCATATCAATTAGGCTCTGAGTTGAGCATTTCTCACATAGCATAGGGATTGTGGAAACCTTTTCTTGAAAGGGTCAAGTAGTAAGTGTTTTAGACTTGCAGGCTATATAGTCTCTGTTGTGACTGCTTAATTCTGCTGTTGCAATCTGCTGTTGCACACATGAATGGCTGGGTGTAACTGAATTCCAATAAAATTTTGTCTTTTAAAACAGGCAGTAGTTGAAATTGAGTGGTGCACCATGATTTATTTATGTTGTCACTGTCTTCTCAGTGGATTTGTGCCTTTATTGTCAGTTTTAACCCATTACACAGATGTACCACCATTTGTTTAGACATTCAGCCACTGAAGAATCATTGAGTCTTTCCTAAAAATTATGAACAAATAGGTTCATATCTATAGGTTTTGTGAATACAGGTGATTTCACCCAAGCAATTACATAGGAGGGGGAAATCACTGGGTTGTATGGTTAGTGTACCTTTATAGGACAGTCCCAAACTGTTTTCTAAAATGGCTATATCATTTATTTATTTATTTATTTATTTGTACATACAGAACTGGGGTTCAGGCCAGAGGCTTAGGGGCGGTGAGAGGCTTCACCAGAGACAAAGTGGGGAGCAGAACAGGCAGATCTACAAAGTACACTGCTGAGGGGAGCAGCAGGCGAGCCAGGAGAGGTCTGCCACACCATGTGGTCACCTCCCGGGCAGGCGGGAATCGAACTCATGCGGAAGTGGCGTTAGCTTCTTAGTGCAGTGCTTTCACCCGCTGCACCACCAGGGAGGGCCTAAAATGGCTATATCATTTTGCACTTCCACCAGCAATATAAGAAAATTTCAGATCTGCTGTTTTCTTACCAGTACTTTATATTCTCCAGTTTTGGTTATACTTAAGTGACTCCAAAAGATTAAGAAGGAGCTTTGAAACAAGAATAAAAATGCTTACCTTTTGCCTAAATTAAGTTGAAAATCTTGAAGAGTTGTCCAGAGGAAAATGACGTTAATTGGGTTTTAAAATGATTGATTACCTTAGATGCAGTGTACAGAATGACTCAGAAGGAGGCATGGGCAAATGTGATAAGACCTATAGGAAAATGTCATGACAGTACAGGGGAAACGAGACATTTGAAGTATGGTATGTGGTAATGAAGATCCAGTGATTAGATATGAGGAGTTTTTAGGATGTGGAATTGGTAGAACTTAGAAATTGATCATCTATGATCCTTAAGAGAGTGACACAAACAACTAGATATTTAATGTACCTTTACCAAGATGAGGAAGTTTGACAAGGGGAAGGCTTAGGGGAACGAGGCCATTAGTTCAAGTTTGAGATATAAGTGAGACATGCACATGGAGGTCCAGGTAGGTAGTTTGATATTTGGGTTCTGGGGTATTCCGTAGGAAAATTGGAACGCCTTTGTGGTATAAGTGATAATCCAATGAACTGTGGTGGAGTATTATTGGGGCTTTGGTGGTGGATGTGATGGGAACATATGTTTGTAGAGATATGAACCTATACCCAGAAATCATATATGGTGTTGTAGACCAACATTACCTCAATTAACATACAAAAATGTAAGACAAGTTAAAGAATTACTTTAAAAAATATATTTGATGATGGGGGTAGATATGAGAGAGAACTTTTAATGATCTGAGAGGAGTGTATAAGATAGAGTCATGAAGAACCTCAGTGTTTCATGTTGAGGACTTTAAGGAAAGTCCTAGTTAAAAGAGGCTGTAAAAAAGGGGGTCTTTAGGAGGTGAGATGGGTGGAGACAGAGACAGAGATAATAAGAATCAGTTTATTAAGTTGGTTAACCTCCCAGATGCTGAAGTAAGTGAACATCAGTTGTGTGGTATAACAACTAAAAAGAAGGTTACAAAGCTCGTTGCATTTAGCAGCAGAGTGGACCTTAGTCAGGGTTGATGTGGTGGGGTGTGAAAATCCAGTTTAAAGTGAGTTGAGGAGTAAGTAGGAGGTGAGGTAGTAGAAAAAGCAAGGACATACAGTTCTTTCAAGAATTTTTAGAATGGTGGTTAGAAAGATGTGTGAGGTGTTTTTTATTGTTGAGGTAAGTTAAGGTTCTTAAAAGGAAGAGGCAGGGCATTAAGAAAGGAGAAATCGTGTGATCAGTGAGAGATCCACAAGGCATGAAATTCATTTGTCATATCAAGCATATTTGCTGATAAAGAGTTAGATATTTATAATTATGGCCTGTTAGCAGAGTAAAATAGGGGGCTTTTGGTATTAACAAGTTTTAATGAGTTATATTATAATACAGTTCTTAAATTTATTTCTTAAGTATTTCTAGAAAACTTACCAAGTAGAAATGTCAACAAAATTCTTCTGATGTGTGAAAACGCTCTCACAGTTTAGTTACTTGTCAAGCTCTTGTCCAAGTCCTACCCATCTGTCATGGTCCAATTGAAACCCTCAAAGGAAAGACTCTCCTTCCCACTTCTTTATGGTCATTGCCTGGTGCTTCCCTCCTCTATTTTCTTCTCTCTGTATACTTGTTATAGATTGTTTGCGCATGATCCATTGTAAGGAGCAATTTGGCTTACTTTTTAGTAAAAATTAAAAGTCATTTATCAGGCCCTACCTGGTGGCACAACAGGTTAGGATGTAGCACTGTAAGGGAGCCGCAGCTACTTCAGTGCAAGCTCGATCCCCTGCCCCAGACGTGACCCACATGGTGTGGCAGACCTCTCCTGATCCGCCCACTTCTCCCCTCAGCAGTGTACTTTGTTGATCTGCCTCTTCTGTTCCCGCTCTGTCTCTGGTGAAGCCTCTCACCGCCTCTGTACTCAGCTGTATGAATAAATAAATAAAATTCCCCCCCCCCCCAAGAAGTCATTTATCAGAATAATCTCTTGGACAGAGCTATGGCCACCTATTGTACAGAATTTGGCCTTGTGCTTCAGAACTTCATATATGGCTCCTACAGCAGAGTAGGAACTGCCACTATGGGCTTTGCTGCTACAGTGACTTAAAGGAAAGAAAGGTCACATACCTGTGGGTGACTGACAGAATAATGCTAGTGGGTACTGTTTAATATTATTTTGGGAAAAGCCAGATATTTATTTTCTTCTCTAGATTTTTAATTCTGACTTAAAAAAAAAAGTCCTTTTTTTTATTTTACATGATAAATTTCATTATAATGAAAGAACTAGAACTTGAACTAGAGCTAGAGTTAGGGAAGGTTGTTATCACCTTCAGGGGTTATAGCTGGCTTTAATTAATGCATTTAAAAATCAAAGTAGTGTATGTTAAATATATAAAACCTATAATTTTATGTTAAGTCATTTAATGGAGAAGCATTTGAAATATTTGAAAAATATTCCAATTTGATATAGCTGATAAACTGGACAATAATTTCTGTTAAACAGATTTTTAAATTACACTAAGTTAAATTTATAGATACCCCAAACTGTAGGATATATTATTATCAGGAGAATTAAGGAATGAAGAACATATATTTTTAAGAAATTGCAGAAAGGCATAATGTGCATTTTCTTCCTTTTTTTCAACACTTTTAAATGTTATTTGAATGAATTACTGCTACTGGATAAAACACTTCCTTATGTTCTCCTATAAATTTTCTTAGACAAGGTATTTGGGAATTGCTATACTGTGTGGGAAATAATTGAAACTGACTGCATATAAAATTAAAACAAGCAGTTGAGATATTGAATCTGATACCAGGTGTTTCATGACTAAATAATTGTGATTCTTGAGGGAAAAAATAATACACCCCCAATTCCAAGGCCTTTTTTTTCTTACAAAGTAGCTGGTCCTATAACTCCCATTGTGGACTGTGGACTGTGGTCTAGCTCTAGCATTTACTTATCTTCATGACAGATTTTTATTGTAAAATTTGTTGACTTGGCATTCCAGATAAACAGCTGAAAATAATCCGCTTTTTACATTAGGTGAATCTGGCCTACGTTGAAGCAGCAGAGTACGTTTCAGAACCTATTAACAGGGAGCCTCCTTCCAGGGAAGCTCAGCTACTGACTTTGCAAAACACAGCTGAATTTGATATCCTGGTCATTGGAGGAGGAGCAACAGGAAGTGGCTGTGCGCTAGATGCTGTCACCAGAGGTAAGTTCTGATGTGGATGGAAGAACACAAACAAAGATTTTTTGTTCTCTCACCAACATAAACACTCTATTCTCTCTGTGCTAGTAAAATCACATGTCTGTTGTGTTTCCTAATCATCTAATCTTTGCACAGCACCTTAGCATTTTTTAAATCGAGGCACTTAAACACAGTTTTATAATGAAATATCATGTTTTTTTCTTTTAACACTTAAATAAATTTATATAAACAAGCAACTTTGTATTCTTTAAATTCATTGACTGGATGTTGTTATTGATTTATTTTTTCTAATACATAGTAAGTACATTTCAAGGAAATAAAATCACCTACATTAAGTAGCCACAATTTTAATTGTAGCCACAAATATAGGTAATGACTACTGAAATGAATTAATATATTAACATAATTCTTTATGTTTTCATATCTCTTCAAATCATCCCTTTCCCTGAAATACAAACCACAGCCTGAAAACTACAGTTCCCTGAGTATAAGTAATGGAAAAGGTAGTGGCAAATCTGTAGTTCATGTCTCACTCTGTCAGCATTTTGAAAGACATGATGAAAAGTTCTTTAGAAATGGAAACATGATATGTAAAGAAAGAAGCCTGTGGGATTGAACACAATATTTCTTTAATAATACAACTTGTTATTTTTGCCTGTGGTTATTAGCTTGGAGTTTGGGGTCAAGGAAATCTGGGTTTATTTCTGTCTTAGCTGGCTTAGATATATGTATGTATGTAAGTATAAGTATACATGTTTGTATATAGACAACTCATTTTATTTCTTGAAAGTTCATTACCTTTCAAATAAGGAAAATAGACCATTTGGCAATGATTGCTGTGAGGATTGTATAATCATGAAAAGGACTTATAATTTAGAAGTTCTCAAGAAATTGTAGATAGTGTAGCTGCTGCTGTTAACATGAAGGTCAAAGACTTTTACACTCCACTGTCCTAAAAAGAATACTTTGTGGTGTCCACAGATATACAGAGGTTGCAAAGTGCAGCAATTTATTTTAATTATTATATACTTATAGCAGTATTATACTCAATGGTAATAATTTATTGCATTGAATAATTCTGTTCATATTAAATTATTATCATAGTCATCCTATACTTAGTTGCCTTACATACCAGGTGGAATTTACTCAGAGAAAAGAAATTAATTTCATGAGACCTAGGTACACACAGACACAAAGTGTCCTAGATTTACTTCAGTTGTTTAGGACCCACACTTAAGTTTTGACTCATATAGATTTCATAGCCTAGCTTATGTCCTTTTTGTCAATTCTAAATAATGAGAAGTTATTCAAAATTTAAGTGCTGGAATCTATTCATTGCCAAATTTTCATATAATTCTCTGTCTCCATCTGTGGTTTATAAAATGAGCCTTGATTATCCTTGAACATTCTAAAGTAGATGGAAAGAATAGTCACAATTTTGTCAAGGTGTTTGACAGTTAGGCCCCTCGGGAGGAGGCCTGGGGAAGATAGTGAAAGAGAGGACACACTCTCAATGTAATGATAGTTCTTGTTTGGGATTACCCCAGTATATCCTGGGACCCTTGGAGTTAGAATTTACCAGGTGACAATTTTCTGTGTGTCAAAGAGGGATATTTTCTCAGTAGGATTTAAAAAAATACACCTTTTGGTTTCTTCTTTGTACTGGTAATGCTGTACTGAAATATACAGTAGTTCTTCCTCAGTTCTACAAATACCCAAAGATCTGGATGGCAATATGTGAAGTCATGTAAGAATATACAAAGATTGTCTATATACTTAGCAACATTAGGGTGTTCATACTTCTATGATGCTCATTTAGCCAAATTACATGAAAGAGAATACACCTTTTGAGATGTTTGAGGGTATTATCGACATTTAAAGGTGAAGATAGCCATGGCTTCAGAGAGTGGTCAGGAGCAAAACATTATGCTCTTTTGTATAATTAGCATTTCTTTATAGTTATAATTTAATCAGTTAAATATTTTGTTGATATGACATTAGCTTAAAATGTTACATAGGTTTCAGTATTATAATTTAACATCTGTAGACACTATTTTTTGATCGTCTCCAAAAATACAGTTTCTATCCACCACCACACAGTCGACCAGTTATCTAACTTACCCACTCTCCTTCTCATTTCCCTTCTGGTAACCACCATGTTTTCTTGCAATTTAAAAGTTATTTTTATTTGTCTTTGTCATTCATTTATTTTACCTTTCATATATGAGCAAAATCATAGGGTATTTGTTTCTTTTTCTGTGTCACTTATTTCATTGAGCACAATACCCTGATGGCCTTCCTGGTTGTCACATGTAAAGCAATTTTACCATTTTTTAAGACTGAGCAGTATTCTGTTGTCTATATACTCCACATCTTCTTGGTGGAGTATAGATTAGATTGTTTCCATATCTTGGCTATTGAAAACAATGCACAAATCTTTTAGAATTTGAGTTTTAATACTCCTTGGCTACATACACATAAATGAAATAGCTGGATTTCCATTCTTATTTTTTTGAGTCATCTTCATATTGTTTTTCATAGTGGCTGTACCAGTTTACATTCCCACCAGCAGTGCACAAGAGTTTGGCATATTCATAGATAGAATTTTAATAGGAGACATTGCGTGCTGAAAGTCTTTCAATCTGAGGTATAATGGAGAAAGCACTATGAAGTTAGTGTGTGTGTAAGTCAGCATGCTTCAATTTGGATTTTACAGGTCATGTGAGGAAGAATAAGAGAGGGGTAGACAGGAATGGGCCAAATTAACTAAGGGAAGACCTTTGGATAATGGGAGAGGCCAGTTGGAGATACTAAAGAGGTTAAATTTGGTGATGAGGAATGGTTAGGCAGAAATGTTCCTTCCTTTTGAAAAGTCTCACTTATACTTGCTTCTGTGAATTTTCTAAACTGATAACATTTTAAAAAGCATTGACAAGGTCATACCAGTTCCGATCTTGCAGTGTTTCTTTCAAATAAGTATATTTTATCAGTGGTACATATATATCATATTCTTTTTTTAACAGCAGGAAAAGTTATACCAGTGCTGTTTATGTTAATGATTTGTTAGGTTGAATCCAAAAACCTTCTTTTTCTATCTAAAATTCATACTGTTTGTGAGTCAAATACTGAACCAGCTTTGAGACTACAAGATTAATAAGATGTGGCCTTGCCCTCAGGAGCTTATAGTTTATTCATGTTTGCTGAACAAATACTTTTTCCCCTTTGGGCAGTGAGATACTCAGTAGTGATTAGTACATGAGCTAGTGCATTAATAGGGCTGTGAGGGATGATGATGAGGAGGAGGAGACAGATTCTGAAGCTTGAACACTGACCAGCTTTTTGAATTTTTATAGCTACTAACAGCTAAAAAAAATAATATACCTTTTAATATCTCTTGGCATATTGATTTCTGTCTTTTACAGTAACTGACTGAATGTCTCATTTTATACATATGGAACTATGATTTAAAATGGGATGGATAAGCCTTAGTTTGTATTTCTTTTATTATGCTGGTAGCCCTCTGGGGGTAACATTTATAATTAAAATGTATAGAGATGCTGAAGTCAATCTGTATTTATCCTTTTACTACAATTTCTGATCATATCAGTAGTCCTCTGAAGTGTGAAATAATCATGGGCATTTGGTTAATGAATTGTGCATTGTTGCTGTTCATTCATGGAATTTGCTCTTTTATTATATTTGATGCTTCACTTAACAACAAATTTTGCTTTCTCTGCATTTGATATGTTTTTACCAAATTATTCCTGATTGTATCCATTAATCTTTAGTCACATTTGACAAAAATAAATTACTGTGATCTTTTAAAGTTACCAGTAATAATTAGATTTTTCAGGACATCAAAGTTTTGGGGGAGCCACTAGATGTTAAAGGACTTGTATAAAAATGTTTATACATGCTTTTTGATAACATTCTATGCCCAAATCCAATTTTGGTAATAGATAAACAAAGATAATAGCAGAAAAAGAGAAAATGATGATGTGTTCATAATGAACATTTATTTGCTTTTTTACCATCTGCATTTTCTTGGGAATCAATTTTCATTTGTTTCATTTAAGAGTCTTATTTTATAAACATAGCACACATACATTCTCTTGCAAGTGTCAAAGTTTGGTAGACATTGCTTCACTCTTTAGCACCTCTCTGTCCGGTTTCTGAGAAATACAACCTGTATTCTGAAGTTGTAGGCATTTACCTCCCAAAGAGTTGGAATGAGGAAACTCTGATATATATTTACTTACTCAGAGTTCCTTATGGTAGTTTTTTCAGTTCTTTTTGTTCTTTTATGTGACTTGCCCTGTATGTATCAGAGATCACCTATATCACCTCAGAGATCACATTTTTGCTTTAGTCTGATTTGTAAACTTAATTTGTATGGATTTAATTCAAATTCCAGAAAAGACTGCCTCTTGCTGGAGGAAATATTAATTGTAACTTACTTAAAATGTCCTATATTTATAGGTTATGAATTGTATCTGACTAGCAATACATGAATTCTGTAATTCTTTCAAGTCCAAGGCAGAATAGCTGAGAGATTTAGGATACAGATTAGAACTAGGATCAAATCTTGTCACCATCACTTAGTAGTGACCTTGAAACAGTGTCTTAATCCTACAGATAGCCTCAAGAAGTTTGTCATACTTAAAGATTAACAATAACAATATGTAACTCTTTTACATAAGTAAAGATTTGTGAAAGGGAAGAGGTATGTGTATGCAGAAAAGGGAGAGCCTCAAAAGATAGTGCATTCTTAGAATTATAGATCTCCACCCCTCACTCTCCCACAACCACTTCCACCCATCTTGAGGTAGAGAAAATTTTTTCAGGATATCAGAACTGTAGTAGATAAGTTTGTTGCTAATGAGACTAGATTACAAATTTATTTTGTGGAAGGTTTTACAAATTCCTGCTAAAGTTTATCTGTAAATTTATCATAAATTTAATATAATGATTTTATTTAGCAGAATTCAGAGGGAGGTCTTGAG